TCTATCTTGGTTACATTTTGCTGTTGAATTCTGTTTTATCTTAAATTAATCATAGAATCTCAGATGGGTTTGGGTTGGGAGGGACCTTAAAGGCTATCCCATTCCACCCCCTGCCATAGGCAGAGACACCTTCCACTATCCCAGGTTGCTCCAAAACCCATCCGACCTGGCCTTGGACACTTCCAGGGATGGGCAGCCACAGCTTCTCTGGGCAACACGTGCTGGTGCCTCATCACCCTCACGGTGTTTTCCTGTCTCAGCTTATTGTCCTCTTGCATCAGGAATGTGCTTGGATTCATGTTGACCACTACATGGACACGCCAGTGTTTTTAACATTGAATTTTTGTTTTAATAAGCAAATGTTATGGCCTCTGGGGGGGCCAGTTTGAATTACTGAAGCTGCAGCTCTATAATTTTTACCCCTTTTAACTGCCTGACCTTTGCAGTGTGCAGATTAAAATACAAGGTGTAAAGTTCTCACCCTGGTACTGAGGTGGCAGCACTTAATGGAAGGTGTTGTTGAAAATACTTTGGTTCTTCAGTGCGGCTGGATCTCGGTGAAGCTCTGGCAGGTGATGATTGTTATGCAATTGTGCTGGCAGGAGCAATTAGAGATTTACAAGTGCTTGTAAATGCTGCTATTTATAGGGTGGACACTTCATTTAACCAAATGCTAATCTTTTCTCAGTGGGAGGAAATGTCAGAGTGGAGAATTTCATCCCTGGACTGGAAGTGGACTGTAGTGTCCAAAAGAACAGTGTCCTTTTTTTAAAAGAAAAGCATTAGAGGCTTCCAAGAGACCTGCACATGAAGAATGGAGAAAGGAGGTTTTAAATTTTGCAATGCTTTGTAGTTTTAATATTAATGATCTATGGGACTTTCAGGTTGTATCTGGCTTGTCAGATTTGGAGTATGTAGTTTTAGTTCTCAGCATTCTAGCTTTGATTTTTGAGAAGCAAAACTGGGTTTCTGTGAATCTGGGAAAAGAGAATTTAAATGCATTTTATTACGTCTTCTTACTTTGTGAATGAATTTCTCTGGGGATATTTTTAAGAATTAGAGCCAGTATGACAGTATTCTTGTTAATCTTTGAGAGACCTCGCATGTCCTCTTAAATACAACTGATGGATCCCGTTGCAGTGAATAATAATGGGAATCAGGCTTAAACCCAAGAATAGAAAAAGCCTGTTTTTTACTGAATTACTTGCATGATCGACTTGGTTATAAAAGTTTCAGAAAAGGCTTCCCCCCCCCCCCCCCTTTGTGTTATTTTGACTGTGCTGTAGTAAGTCATGCTCTTGTCAGCGCTCACACTCGTGGTCAAGTTATTCTGTTCTTCGTACGTGCGCAGTAAGTGATTGGATTAAATAAGAATTAACAGAGCAGATCCCATCAGCATCTCTCCAAGTGTAGGAACCAGCAGCAGGAGGATTGCTTTGGACAACTGACAGGGACGGCTGTGGACTGATCCCAGAGTATGGGCAGTGAGGACAGGAAGGAGAAAAGAGAGAAGAAAACAGTTTCTAAAGACTGAATCATTTACAACAGCGGGGCATCCCTTTTGTAGGAGGGATGAAATAAACCTTGGTTTAAGGTCATCTCTTCCCAGCAGCTCCTGTGGCTTGTGCCAGGGAAAACCTGTAGGGCAGGAAAATATGGAAGAATCATGGAATTGCAAAGTGGTTAGAGTTGGAAGGAACATGCAAGACCACCCAGTTCAACCTCCCAGCCATAATCATGAACAAAACTCCTTTTTTCAGGAACTGTTAATAGCTGTAGTTATACAAATCTCTTCCTGTATTTACACAATAAGGGAGCAAGTTTTGTATAATGGAAGCAGATTTGCTGATAAAGTTGTGTCTAAAGAAGAAAAACTTTGTGTTTGGTAATTTTCTGTGGAATATTCTTAGTGTAAGCAGCCATGGATGTTCACTGCTGGAGCCAGGCTTTCTGCGTGGTTTCCACGTAGTAAACTGGATTTTTGGTAGGGTTTTTTTTGTTGTTTGTTTTTGTGATTGTTTGTTGGTTTTTTTTTATGGTTGAGAGATTTTCTCCGTGCGATTTTTATGCTTTCCATCCTTAGAGAAGACAGATGGACTTGTTTATCTGCTGCGAGGTTCAGGGACAGATTATAGATGATTTTGCTTTGTGTCATTTAAAACATTCTTATTTATGAGCGAGGAAGTTGGCAATAATCACGTGATTCATGGTGGAAAAATTATCTGCAGGCTGCTGCTGTTGTCTTAATAGGCTTAAAGGAATTAGAAATGATGTCAATAATAGTTGTGTGGAGGATGAGCAAGTGCAAGCGACAAGGGTGTGTTTTGACTAAAGCCCTTCCCGTGTGATTTTTTACAAAAATAACCCTGTGAAGTGAATAATCCATTTTGATTTCTAATGAGCAATGTTAATGTCCTTTGTAGTGATAGATCTTTTAATTAAAAGTACAAACAACACCTCAGGGCATTAAGATTTGAAGGCTTGGAGGAGCCTGGAGCAGTATTTGCCTGTGTATCTCCTTAAAACCCTGTGGTGGCTCAGCTGGGCCCAGGAAAAATCCCAGTTGCAGACGTTTGGAAGCTGAGGAAGAGAAGCAGCAGAGAAGAGCCATGCCTTCATGTGCCAGAGTTTCCGTTAAAACAGGATGTATTTCAGAAGGAATTTCAGTGCCGTTTATAATTTGATTTGTGTACACAGAACGTGCCCCAGCGCAGCTGAGGGGAGCGAGGGCACAGCTTGGGCAGCACAAAGAGAAACAGTGCCCAGAACAGGGGACAAGGGGGTTTGGGGGCTCTGCCACACAGGTTGGGGACAAGCAAGGGACAGAGGGGCAGCAGGACACAGCAGCAGGGACAACTTGGCCAACTGTCCCCGGGCAGAGGAGGTCAGGGAAGGGAACAACAGGTTGTAGCTGACGATGAGGGATTTACAACTGTAGTAGTACGATTACAGTAGTATTACTAAACATTAATAGCATCTGAAATCCTCCTGCAATTAAGTTAACGGGTGATTATTTTAAATTGCCCAAAATTTTGTACATTGCCAGCTTAGGTAGAGATATTTGATTAGAGAGAAGTATTTTGTCTAAACTGAGGTGTTTCAAAACCAACATGCAAGGTCTAGTATATGTTATACGTGGCATTGATAACACAATTCCTCTTTATGAAATGTACTTTTTGAATCACAGAAGCCTTTTAGTTTTCAAAGGTGGGTGATTATTTTTTCCCCCAAATATTTTGTTCTTTTCTGAATACTTGTGTGCTTTGGGCCCTGTATCTGTTATGGAGTATCTGAATTTAAAACCTGAAAACTGACTTTGGGAGATTATGTAGGGAAAAATGGGGTCCTGTAAAGCTGGACTGTGATGAAACTTAGGAAGGGGTAAATTGTGGGTTAGGAATGTTGGCTGGAGAAGTGAGTTGCACACTGTTAGCCAGGATTAGGTCTCTCATTGTATATTCACTGCCCCGCGTTCCGTTGAGGATCAAGTTTTAGTCCATTTAAGAAGCTCTGTGCTCCCTTCTTCTGTTCCAAAGAAAAGGAACTACAGTGTGATAGGAGGGAGGTAACTTATTCTCAGGTACTGCGAGACAGATGCTGTTTTCACAGCTGGATTTTTCCCTTTGCAGTATTGCCCTTGAGCATCGCCCTCTTCCCAGCAACGATTCTGTTCCCTTCAGAGCACCTCCCAGACCTTTGCATCCTTGGAATGTGAGAGCATTTTAATCGGATTTTGGTGGCATTTCTGAGAATAAGGAGTGGAAGAGGGAGGAAGATTCCATGAAGATCTGTGAGACTGTGGAAGGGACAGATTGATGTGGGTAAGCTGCTTGGGTTAGTGGCTATTTCAGAATGGCGAGGTCAGGGATGGCACTGGGGATAAGTGGTTGAGACAGAACTCCCAAGTGGATTGGAAGATGAAAGGGAACGGGCAAGGTGAGGGAAGTTCATTTGCCTGCCTGAGAGAGGGAGCACAAACAGGGACAAAAATAAATCCCTGCATTTCAGTGCCAATATGGGCCAAGTCTGGTCAAGGGAAGCTGAAGGTGAAATAACCATTTCTGCCGACTGCAAACCCAGGAAGGCAAGATCCTGGTTGGGTTCTTTAATAATCACATGCAGGGAGCTCCATACAGAATCTAGAAATAAGTATATCTATGTGGTAAATTCACACCAAAATAGGGCTGGTGAGAAGTGTCCAAAAGTGCCCCTGCAAAGGCTGCCCAAAAGAGACAGAAGGGTGGCAACATAAAATTGAGCTTCTCCCTACAAAATATTGCATACATTTCCTAAAAATTAAGGGTATGACATCTTTTAAAGGAAAAAAGGTCATCTAACCTTACCTAGCTACATGCATCTGCTACAAATCCAAATATATTTGATATTAGAAAAGTTGTGGTTACTTCTTGTAGATGAAATTCTAATTACTTCAGGTTTTCCCTCAACTCTGCAGTAAGAATTTAATTAAAGCCAAAGCTCTTCTCCTGCGTTTGCTGGCGAGATACTGGAGAAAATTGCTTTGTCATGGTAAAAGTTCCGTTTTGATTGAAAATCACCCGTTTGCAGGTCAGCTGCTCACGTAGCACCTCACAGACTGCTGTCCCAGAAAGGAGCTTTGCAATAGAAAGTAAATTACAGTAATTGAGATTATAGTAATGCAGAGCTCTGTCCTTAACCAGTGATTGACAGCACTTGGATTTGCAAACAGTCTCTCTGAAATGTGGTTTTAACTATGTTCAGATTTAGTGTGACTGCTGTGCAGCCTGAGTTATTCTCCCTTCACCTTTCTGTTATACCTTTTAGTGGTATTTTCGTGTAGGTTCTTTAATAACTGTTTGAAAAATAAACATTTTTCTGCTTTATACAGTTCTATCAGGTGACTTTATGCTTGGGAACCAGCTTTTTTTTCTTTAAAATGGTCTGGATTTTTATCTCCATGGCATAACCTGTGTAGGTCTGGGTATGTGCCACACCCAACTCTGAACTCTGTTTATTTGCAGGTGAGGTCTGGGCAGTGTGTCTGCAGTGATTGCCTTTCCTGTTCCTAATGTGACCTTGGTGACAAAGCTCTTGTCACTATGAGAAGGGATTCGGGCCCCATGGGTTGGTTGCAGCAGCAAATGCAAATTATGGTAAGTGGGAGAGTGGGGATTTGTAGGATTGTGGTTATTTGCATTGTTTAGTTCTGGGCGTTGGCTATTAGATAACAAATAACACCTTCAGTCACACTAATCCTGGTATTTTTGGCAGTTTGAAAGTACACACTCAATGCACCTGGCCAGCTGCTTATGTTGTTAAGAGAAGTTGACGTTTTTACATCAACGTGGAATCTTGGAAGGATTTGGGTTGGAAGGGACCTTAAGGCTCATATTCAAACCCTGCCATGAGCAGGGACACCTTCCACCTTTCAGGTTGCTCAGAGCTCCATTCAACCTGTCTTTAAACACTTCCAGGTATGTGGAGTCCACATATTCTCTTGAGACCTCTGCTTAAAAAAAAAAAAATTAATTCATTTATTTCTAAGTATCTCAGCCTTTAAAATGGACTCGACCAATGGGACTCAGTGCTGTGCAGAGACTCTTGCAGGATTTGTGATGTATTTGGCTGTTGGGCCAAATCAGTGAATAATGGTGTTTCTTGCTGTTTTTTAGAGAAGGAACACTATGTGTTTCAGTGTGATACACTCTGGAAACAGCATCTCTGAAAGGCACCTTGATCTGAGTTTGCTTCCTCGTGAATTTAAATGAGAATGATGATATTTGATCTTCATGCTGACTCTGCATCAATACTTGCATTTTTCTTTTTTTTTTTTTTGCAGATTCTTTTTCCCCGTTGGAGTTTTTCAGTTCTGTTGAATGTGTAATTCCAGCTATGGCAACAAGAGTAGAAATAAATTCTCCTTTGGCGTCTTTGACGGCAGTCCCCGACCTGACTGAGCTCCGGACCGAGGACAAGGCGCAGCGTGTGTACGTCAGCGTGCTTTCGGATGCGAGCAACAAGGCCAAGGAGGCTTCAACATCACTGACTCTGGAAGAGAACAAGAAGTTTGGGAGTTCCTTGAGATCCGCAACGATGCCATCGCTGGGATCGAGGCCGAGACTGTTCCCGAAGCCTTTTTGTAAAGAGAAGCCTCCAGAGGCTTTTGCAAATGTTAAACCCCCTGTCCCAGCTTTCAGGTCCAGCAGTTGGATCAAAAAGGCCCCTGAGGAAACATCATCTGTGAAGGTGTTGGGTGGAAATGTTCCTCCGTTAGTAGATCAGAAAGCGATCGAAACTGAAAATCGGGGTGACGGTGATGTGGTCACAAACATGACTTTCTACACTGGGCCCAGTGCCAACACGGTCATTCTGTTTGAACCAGCGGGGCCAGAGCAGGCCAAGGTCAGCCTGGCCCAGGAGAAGAGGGCTCAGGACCGCACAGGATTTGCTGCTCTGCAGACAAAGGACATTCAGTGCAGTGTGAAGCTGGAGAAACCATCTGAGACATCCAGAAATCCTGAAGGATCTATCCACAGGCAGATGTCATTTTCCTCCAGTCTCAGACCAGTCTCTTGGAACTCCCTGAAAACTGGGGAAAAAAAAGATGCTCATGAAGTTCATCCAGGGGAGAAAACCAAGGATGATGCAAATAATCTCAACAATAAAGTTGATTTCTCTATTGATGTCCAGCAAAGGGCAAAACACAGACCAGTGTCTGCTATTTTTCTGGAATCCTTACGAGATCAAAAGAATCACACAGTGGAAGCTTCTGAGGAAAAATCTCCCACGGAGAAATCTGGTGTTAGAAAACCAAGGCCTTTGTCCATGGACCTGACAGCTAAATTTGAACATAAAGATCTTTCTTCTTGCAAGAAGACTTGTTCATCCCATGAAAGCAAGGAAAATGTATCCATAATTACTGTTACTGATGTGGGTTGTCATGATCAGTCTGAAATGGGGCCAAAATCTGAAGAAACTGACTTTAATAAAAGCAGTTCTTCTAAACCAAATTTGAAATGCAGTAGTCAGGACATTGGCATCTTAAATAATGGGAAATACGTGTGGGAAACAAAACTTAAATCTAAAAGTGAACAAGTTGAGACAAAACCAGAAATAACTACTAACTTGCACAGTTCTGAAAGGAACCCTGAAACAACCAGTGAAAGCAGAACTAATAAGGGGGGGAAAAGGGCAGATCAGAAGGAAACGTGCATGTTTCCAGGCTGTGAAAGCCCTGCAGCTTCCTCGGAAAAAGAGAGTAATATCTTAAGAGGAAGTGTCAAAAAACACATTAGTTTGTTTACTTCAGAAAGTCCCAGTCCCGCAGTGGATACGGAGCTCCTCCCATCAAGTGCCGAGAAGGAGAACAGGTGTGTGACCATCCAGCAGAGAATCAAGGAGCTGACAGCAGAAAACGCTGACGTTAAGGCGGGGAACCTGCGCAGGTCACCACAGTCACGGCCGCTCTCCGCGGACCTCACAAAGATGTAGGTTGCAGAGAAATTCTGGTTTATCCTCTTAACTTCGTGTCGTTCAGTAGAACTTACTCTCTCACTCCAGTAAAATAACTGATCATTTGGCTTCCCCTAGATGTAGTTCTTCATACTGTTATTCTTGAGCCCCTTTACTGCCTTTTTGTACCCAAAAAGAGAGAAGATTTAATGAAATATACACTGACAGTTAAAAAAAATAAGTAAATCTGCTGATACTGTGGCCTTTGCATGCAACTGTAACTGTAGATCCATGATTACCCTTTCCTGCATTTTACAATCTCGAGGTGAGCCTGTGGACTGCCAGCTCATAGACTGGGGAGAAAGCAAAAGAATGGTCCTCCTGGCAGTGGTGTGGGGAGTCAGGATTTCAACCAGGCAGGATTCTGATTTCACTGTTGGGATCAAAATAAATAAATTTAACTGAGGCATGAGGTTAACATCTCTTTTCAGAGAATCATTTAGGTTGAAAAAGACCTCCAAGGTCATCAAGTCCAACCATTGACTGATCACCACCTTGTCAACAAGAGGTGTTATAGTTCATTATGTATCTCTAAATTTTCTACTGTAAAATAAGCTGCATAACTAACAGCTTTTTGGGAAACAACAGTCCTTTGGTCTAGGTATAATTAAACCAGCAAATACAGTCACTTCCTATGAAATAGTAGTGTTTTTCCTTTAAGAAATGAATTTTGTTGGAGAATTTTTACCAGTCTGCTTTAGGTGGGCAGTGGACCAACACACTGACTAACTGGACTAAAGAAGTAATACAGGTTTTCTGGTTTAGGTTTTCAAGTCCGACGTCAAGCAGTGAAGCAAAGCCTGAGAAATCTGCTGAAACCAGAACTGACCCTATCCATGAAATGCAGGAAAATCCAAAAGTAAGGAAGTGGCACAGTGAGTGGGCTCCAGCTGGGTTTGCACTGGGAGGGCAGTGAGTGCTGTCCTGTTCTGTGTGGTTTTATCAATCAGTGACTTTTAAATGGGTGTTGAGAATTTTATTGCTGACACAATCCCAGGGGGTTTACTGGTGTGAGTCTGTTTTAGGACATACCAATAATGTACAGGAGTATCATGTTTGCTTAGCTGGTAAAGTTCATTGTGCACACTGTTGAATGTATGATTGCTAGGGAGGGAAAAGGATTTTATGTACTATTCTTAAAGAATTCTAACATGTGAAACCCCACAGTGAATCCCCTGTGGCTGTGGTGGGTTTGTGCTGTGATTATTCTTTATTTTCTCCAAGCAGAGCATTAGGATTGTGCGTTCCTACATCCGAGTCACAGCTCCTGATTAATCGCGGCCTGGACCTTTCATGTCAGTCTCCTCAACAGCAATAACCTGAGCAGTTTAGACAATAGAGTGTTCCAGGGAAAGTGATGATTTGCTGTGGAAGCTTTAGGCTCTCTTTGTTTCTAAGCAACACCTCGGTGTTGCAAAACAGAACTTCTCTGTTGACACTTCTTAGTAGGGGAGATTTAAAGTAGTTTAAGGGTGTTTGTTTTGAGTTCTCATGGCTGTGCTTTTTTCCTGTCTAATATAGGAATATATGGTAAGGAAACTAGGAGCTACAGCTGCAAAGTTTCTGTAGCTTAGTGTTACTTTCAAGAAGAGCAATTTGTTTTTAAAAGGAGATCTTTAATGTAAGACAATAAAGTAGGATTTAAAAAATTCCTCTGAATTCCTGGAATAATATAGGTCAGACTTAAGAATCTTTATAAATGTCTTCGGTGTTGATTTTCTGACATTCTTCAGCTTTTTTAAGAGAATCTGGAGTCAACTCCAAGTTTTAAATTTTCAACTTGAAAAGAACCTTAAGCTCTTGTAAGACCTCCAGTATTCTTTGATTCCCTATGTTGAGCAGAGTAGGTACAAGTAAGTTTTACAGTAAACTTTATTGCACATCTTTGAATAAACTCTCTTAACTGCTGGATTTTCTCATTGCAGAGTAAGGAGCTGAAGGTTGCACAGGGCACAGATTTCACAGAAGCACATGTTACTGGGAAGCCTTGGAAATCCCGGCAGATTTCAAAGATAACCAGTACACCTGATCAGCTAGAGAGGAAAGGAAGCTTCCTCGGGGATCCTCAGCATTTTTCTCAGCAAAGTGAAAGTTCTGTCTCGTTCACAAGCAGTGTTGAAAAAAAATTAAACCCAGCGCTTCTGGAAAAGCCCCTCATTAAAACTGTCCGAGCCACCATGTTCGAGCACAATGTGCAGAGACACAGCGTTGCTGTTGAGCTCTCTGGGGCTGACGCTGCACTGAAAAGGAACCAGGAGCCTGAGGCAAAGCAAGACGTGGTGGTTTTGGGGCCCGGCAGACGGTCGTGGATAGGAGAAGGGGAGGAAACCACCTCTGCAAGGAAGGAGCATTACAAGCCATCTGATTCGTCCAAACACACAGCAGATGTAGAGAAAAGTGGCAAACCAGCTTGCTCAAGTGAAGAAAAGAAAATTATTGTCTTAGAAAAATCTTTGGTTGAGAAAAGTGAAAAACCCACTGCTAAAAATGCGGAAGATTCTCTAATTTACCAGCGAATAGAGCCCAGGTATGAAGTCTTTCAGACATGTGGGGAAAGGGCTCTTAGTGAAGCCATCACAATGGCTCCTGAGAAAAAGGCCATGACACTCAGAGCTAGAAAATCATCTGTGAAAGAGAATAAAACTGATGAGGAAGTTGGACACACGGGGCAGTCAGTGAGGGCAAGCAGTCACACTCTCTACTTGAAAGAAGATACTGTTGTTTCAGAAGCTAGAGAGGTAAAAGTTCTTACAAGTAAGGCTGTGTTGAGAGAACCTAATGATTTTCTCTCCAGTGAATGCACTATACCTGAACAGAAAAAGGACTCTGATAAAACAGAACCTGATTCACTGTTAATAGTAACCGAGAAAATACCTTATTCCACAAACAAAAGTAAAGTTTTGGGAATTAATGAGAAAGTAAATAAGCTACATTCTGAAATTAGAAGTGATAAGAGTGAAGTCTCTTCCTTAGATAAACCAGAAAAGTCTAATGTGGTGAAATGCTCTTCTGAGAAAAGGAGTTTTTGGGCAAGTGGAACAGACACTTATGAATTCAGAACCAACCTGGATCGTGAAGTTATTTCAACAAGTGTGAGTAAACACGGGGCCCATTCTTCCTCAGGGCTTTCAGGTGGACAATTTTTTAAACCTTCCAGTAGCCACCTTCCTGATGTAAAAGTACAGACCATAAATAAAGAGGAATCCGGGGTCTTTGGGTTAAGGAAAAGTCTGGACTTTAATTTCAAAGAGCGAGACTTTAGCTTGGCTAGTGCAGCTCCTGAGAACAGTGAAAAACTCAGAGTAACAGATCCAGAAGAGAAAATCAGGAGAAGCAGAAGTAGCGTTTCTGACTTGAAGATTTCTGAAAGGTGGAGGAGGAGGACTTTGCCTCAGGAGTCAGCCAAGGCAGAAGAAGTTGTGTGGCTCACTCCTGAAAATATCAAGAGGCTGAGTCGGACAGATTTGTTGCAGTTGGATGAGGATTCACTTAAAAAGAGAAACAAAAATATCAAAGAAGGGCTGGAAGGGAGTGAGGCAAACCAGGCTGTTCTTGGCAGTCCTGATGATTACTTGAAACATCAGAGTTCTGTCTTCGAACCAAAGGCAACTTTTTTTGCAGTGACTTATCAGATTCCTGGTATCAAAAAAGAAAAAAGCTTTGTTGGTGCTCCCAGTGCAAGTGAAATTAATACGGTTTCCAGTTCAAGTGGGGGAGCAGCAATTAATGTGGACCCTGTTTTTCCTGGAAGGTCCAAACCTGTATTGCAGCAACCAAACAAAAATGTGATGAGTGCAACTTGCAGAGAGGACTCCCGGGATATTAACAAGGATTGGGTCAAAGAAGACAACAAAGATGCCGTTTTATCCAAAAACGTTGCGTTTGGTAATTTTCATGTGTCTAGGAAGGATAACCAACAGCATCATGAAAAAGGTCTGGATCATTCTAAAGAGAAAATTATAGATGTTGATGCTTTCCTGTTAAAACAGGACCTGGAAAATACAGTTCAAATTGATCTCAAAAGTAGCAGAAGGAAAGTCTCCTCCTCTTATGAACCCCGGTCCCCACCATGTTCAGCGCAGGGACGTAAAGACAGTGAACCAGGCCCCCAGAAAAGGAGTGAAAATAATCCTGATTTACCTGTCAGGAGGGCTGAGGATAGTTACAGATCCCAAATTCTAGATATTGATGCGCTTATGGCAGAATATAAAGAAGAGTCAGCCAAGGCCAGTAAGGTTCAGGATAAGCTCTCTGAAGATCTCAGCTCATTGAGTAGGGAGAAATCAAAGAACAAAAGAAATGTGTCGGATAGGACGAGTCTTTCCTACAGCTGGAACGAGTGGAAGAGTAGATCAGATCACTCTTCTGTTAATAACAAACCAAGTGAGTGTGCAGAAGAGCAGCACAGGCCAGAGAAACTAACTGTAAATGAAAAGAGCAAAGAGAAACTGGAATTACGCAGCCCTGAATTTGATAAGCCGAAGTCCAAAGACAGAAAGTTCAGCCCTCCTTACTGGGGAAGCCCCAGCATCTTCTTCTCAGAGAAGTTTGTAAATTCACCTGTGGAGTTCAGTAGGAAGAAAACTTTCATTGTTGATGAGGACGAGGAAGCAAATTTAACCTCCAGGAATCAGAGTCCAAAATTCGTAATCGAGAAGGTACAGCCTGTAAATGTAGTGGGAACCGACCAGAGGCTGGAAGCCAATTTTGCTTCCAGGTTGTCCATAAAGGCAGATGATGGGCTCTTACAGAAGAGGTTGGTGACTAAAGAACAGTTTCTGGAGGTGTCTCCAGAGGGTGATTGGAGCAAAAACGTAGTGAGGAGCTCCACAGTGAGGAACAAAGACAACGCAAATAAGGCGACATGTGAGAGCGACTCTTCTGGTGTGAAAATTAAAACTGATTGGAGGAACTACACGTCTGGTTTTGGAACGGCACCCCCAGATTTGAGGCGGTCCTACTCGGAAAAATGCCGCCAAGGAAGAGACAGTCTGCCACTTGTGCAAGAAGTGAGGGGAAGGAAGGACCTACACCAGTCCAGGCAGAGCTTCCCCCTGGAAAGTGTGGATCATGGGTGGAAACCCAAGATGTCAGCTCAGTCAGAACTGTTCTTCCATGAAGATAAAAAGGTATTTTCAAATGGTATCAAATTGTTTCCTGTAACTGAAACTGAACTCTATTTATTAAGACCTTTCTTGTGTCTTGTACCACTTTTCAGCGCCAGCTGTGACTCTGCAGCAAAGGAGCAGGTTCATACTTTTCACTAGAGTTCATTTCCTTTTGGGTTCTGTTTTCTTGAGGAATGTGTGTTGTACTAAATGACCAGATTTTTGCTGTAAGTCCATGAATATTTATTGATGTTTCCATGGAAAGCTTGAAAAAGCTTTAAAGTTTATTGTATTGTTAATGCTATGAACCTGGGATGTTAAATTGTTAACTCTCCAATTTTATATTTACTTGAAAAAAAGAGATTTGGTTTATTTTATAAGTTGTCAGCAGTGATCTTTTTGGATCTCCCTTTGTTTTTTTGTCTTTTTCTGAATGAAGCAAATATAATTTTTACTGGGCAAGTAGCCTTCATTTGTCTGTGAAGCTTCACTTAAATGAGAGGCAGGAGACTCCCTTAACACAGTGACATGTGAATGCAGTCCAAAGGCTGGATGTGATGAGCTTTTCTAACCTTAATGATTCTATGATTAAAGCATAGAATGTTCATGGCTATATATCTAAGAACATTCATAACTGCTTTTTACAGGCTTCTAGGAAAGAGTGGACTAAGCAGACTTCAGACAAAACAGATGGAACAGACTTTTCCTCGGTATCTGCTCAGAGGAGCCGCCACAGTTTCTATAAGGAGAGAAGAGTGGATTTTTGGGCGGTAGGTGATCTTGGAGGAGGTTTCTGGGAGGGATGAGGGAGGTGTTTTCCTTCTTGCAAAGGCCTGTGATGGAAGGTGTGTGTGCCTGGTAGGGATGCGCTTGCTGGGGAGTTGAAGTGGCAGAGGATGCTCCTCCCTGGGATCGCACTGCTCCCTGCCAACCCTTCACACACAGAACACTGTGCAGCTCGTTCACTGTGCTTCCTAAGTGAGGAATTTTCACCCTCAACTCTTAAGAACTCTCTAGAGCATTATGCTTTTTTGTTGCTTTCTCAGATATTGAAAATTACTTGATTTCAGATTTTTATTTCTGGAAAATTGTGCAGACAAACAGAACCGCGTCAAAGCCTGAGAAATGGAGGGGTTTAATTTTCTTTCTGTAGGCAACACACAGAGAAGTGTTTCTGTGAAGGATCACAGCTGACATTTTGGGAAGTCTGATGTCTCTTTAGTACACATACTTTTGGGGTGAATTCCCACTTACCATTGTTGGGTGATACTTCCAGTTTTAGAAGGATCTCCTGGCTTTAGCCCACGGATAAATCTGTGTTGAGAGAGAGCGTTCTCCATCCAGCTGTTGTCCTGAAATACAAAACAAAGATCTGGATGTTCCAGAAGCTACACAATAAATGAAAGATCGACATTTTATGAGGGAAAGAAAGGACTTGAAAAGGGGAAACTGAAGGATGTTGCCACACTGACTGTACCAAGGTCAACCCTCCCCTGTCCTCTCTCTCTGCCAGCACATTGTGTGGTGAGGAGCTGCACTGCCCTCTGCAGAGGCTCTATTCTGTCATTAATCACTGTTTGCAGCCCTTTAGCAGAGAACACACAGAAAAAGATAGGAAAAGGACTGAGTTCTTTTTTCTTTTCTAGTAGAGAAAAAGCAGACACCCAAACCTTTGAGGATTTTATAAAAAAGTCTCCTAATAGGGGTTTTGGAAACAGGCTCATGTTGTTCTTCAGTTCCAATCTTAAAACTTCGTGGAAGGTATCCAAAGGCTGATGACCCCTTCTCTTTCCCATTCCTAGCGTGGGCTTCATCTAAGGAGGAGTTTGGGTTATTTACAGAATTGGCAGTTATCATTTCATCTCTAGAAGTGGTTACATGCCATCAGCTTATGTTGCAAATGTGTAAAGGTGTCGTTGGCAAGGTAGGACATGTGGGAGAGAAGTGCTGTCAGAAGGAGTTCTGGGATGACTGAACTGTTCAGGTGCTGTGCTGGGATAAATATGACTGTTATTCTCCAACTTGGTTGTTAATTGGGAGGTTACTCAGAATAATCCTTTAACTTCACCAAATGTAGCCTGAGACAGTGAAGGAAGGTGGGAAAGGAGGACTCAGCCCTAGGAAAATAGAAAACTCCTCTGTGTGTGGCATTCCCTGGAATTCAGTAGGGTCTGAGTGCTTTACTCCTCTGTATTGCTTTGGAAAGCTCCACAGGGTGTGTTTGGTGTGCAGTGTCCCGGGAGCCAAAGGGGAGCCTGGTCCTCCTGTGTGTGAAGTGTGAGCGAGAGGGTGCATGGAAGGGGCTTTTACCTGCGTTTGGGAGGTGGAAAACTCACCACACTCGTGTCTTCATAAGCCCCACACAGATATCACAGAAGATTATGTAAAACCAAACCATTTCTTGTGCACCAGGGTTATGCCTTTGTTTTATTTGGAGAAAATACAGACTTGGAGTGTGGAGCCGCTGTTTGAGCAGCGCGTTCCAACACTCCCCTCTGGTGGAGAGACACATCGCAGTGCATGTGAGGTGGAGGAACACGAGGGGTCAGGAAAGAGCCACGTCAGTCACAGTTAAATTGAATTTGAACACAATTTCTGTTTCCTCTGGTGTACCTGTAAAGGAGGATTAGATGGAAACGTGGTCACTTGAGATATTGATATTGTTCAAGTGACACTGAGTGCTCAAAGTGAGAAGTGTCATTGTAGAATGAATGATTGATTCACATTCACCACTGAAGCAGTGTGATGATGATGTTCTTTGGTATTTGACAAACCAGCTTACATGAATGTCCATTTGTTACATTATTCCCCATTATGCCCCATGATTGCTGTATTTATGATAACAAACAACTGCTTGAATGACATTTGCCAGGACAGCTGATGAACTAGGTTCTTGGGGATGAACATGGTTCTATGGGAAACAAGGAGCAGTAGTATCATTTTACCTCTGGAAAAGTAATTTCTTTGTGATGATATTCCAGGGAATCTACTGTAATTAGGTTGTTTTTCAAAACATTACAAAGGACAACTTTGAAATCAAACCATCACAATGGATTTGGCAATATGGGATTGGTGTTTCAAGTTGCAAAGGATGATACTCTTGAGATTTAACCCTCATCTAAATTGCATTTTTTATCTGTTTTGAGTTTGTATTGCTTAAAAAACAGAGTAAGGCTTTTGTAAAAGTTCCTGTATCACTGCTGGACTGTTGTCATGTCATCATCTGTGGTTTTACTATGGGTGGTACTTGTCTCTCTGTGTTTTAGCCCTGCTGCAGCACAGTTTAGATGTAAAAACGAAGTTGTTTTTATGTTTGCTCTGAACAGAGTGGGGGTTTTATCTCACCAAATCAACTGCACATCTCAGACCCTGTAGCAGGCAGAGCTCACCTGCACAGCTCAGGGCCTTAGGCTGTTCTGGGGGTCTTTTCCTTTAGAGATGGAATGCAGGTGGAGGGACAGGTGTGACCACCTGTAGCATCCAAACCCTCTCTGGTTTGCAGCTGGGGTCAGACATGGGGCTGTTCTGCACTCAGAGCTGCCCGGGAAGGCCCCATCCCTGCAGCGTGTCAGGGAGAAGCCCTGGGAGTTCAGGAGGTGTTAACAAGTATTGAATGTCCTGAACTGCAGTGATCCCATCACAGCTGACACAGGGCTTTAACCTTCTGACGTTCGGTCACAAACCTCAATTCCTGATTGAGTCACTAAGACTGATAGAAGTCTTGGCAACTAAAACCTGAGGAATGTGTGCTGGGACTCATCCTCCAAATACAGTAGCTGTGGTTGTGCTGTGGGGACACCTTCAACTGGAAATGGAGCAGTTTTAGAGAAGCTGTGGGTTATAACCAGAATTGCTGCTTTGGGGAGTTAAAACAGAGCACTCTGCTACTAGAACTGGTGTGGGCATGAATTATTTGGAAGCCTCTCCTCATATTATTTATTTATTTTACATTAAACTTTTTTGTCCTTTGGGGAGGAAAATCTCTCTACTGGTCTCCATAGAAAGAGGCATTTATTTAAGAATGTGATGTGTGGGTGGAGGAGGGTTTGTTGAAGAAAATCATGAGCTGACTCTTAAAATATTTTGGAAATGAACTGCAAGCAAGAGAAGATAAATATTTTATAAACATGTGCAGATGAATTTATAGTTTGGCTTGTCACAGTTCACCAGTTGTTTCCAGTTCTGCCCAAGACAAGTCTGTCTCCTGCCCACTGAGAGGCAAACCTTCTCTTTTTTGGATTCTGTAAAGCTTCTAATATTGCAGCTTTGCTCCTTCCCAGGTGGAAATGGGATGTACTGAAACCCATCATGTGTGAGTTGCTACCCAAAAAACTGACTGAGCCTGGAAGAAAATCAAAATAATTTGTCAGCTCTGTGTGATCTTATAGGTGGTGATTAGAAAATGAGGAGTATTTTTCTTAAAAAACCAGAATTTCAAGGAAAGCTGGCTGCAGCATCCTGGGAGCTGTTTTGTGTCACCTCCACCTTATTCCTCCCAGGGAAAGGTGAGAGCTGGAGGAGTGCTGGGAGGGGACAGGAAGCTGGGACATGAGTGCTGGGAGGGGACAGGCAGTGGGGCCCTCTGTGATGGGGTCCTGGCACTTACCTTTCTTTCTCCCATCAAAAAAAGGACATCGGTAAAAAAAGCAGTGTTACAGTTCCCATTTCTGCTCTTCACAAACCACCCACCGCTGATGTCCATCAACTCCACCGTTTCCTATTTGTAAACCCAGCCCGAGGAGGTGGTTAAAACTCGTCTGCCTGGGTTTTCTTCCTTTTTTGGCAGTTTTCTTTTGCTGGGAACATTCCAGGGGTGTATAAAAAGCCACTTTGTTGTGTCTGTTTCTTCTCGTTCACAAAAGACATTTTTATGTTAAAAGAACATAAAAGCAGGAGCTTTTCTTGCACGTGTGGGTTTTTCTTGTGCATCACCGAAAAACAAGGTCAGCGAGCGGCCCCGATGGCGTTAAGAGCGTTTCATAACCAACCCTGCAAACCAGGGGGGTTTAGAGCTTCTCTTTCCTTCTGAAGGGCTTTTTACTGCAAAACCCAAAGTCCTGTCACTAATTCTAGCCTAACCCATTCCGGATTATGGGGATGGGAGCAGTGGGAGCACTTAGATGCTCAATAACAAGTGGGTAAGTCACGTGCTGCCGGTGGCTCAGCGGCTGCTTCTGAGTAGCCCCAGAGTGTGTTAAAGGCGCCGAGCCCGCGGTGACGTGGGGCCCACAGACACACACGGTGCATTATTCATGTTGCATTTAATTGCTCCAGTCTGCTTTTAAGTTGTGCTGGAGGCGGGGAGAGCAGGAGGGCTGCCTGGAACGGGGATGGCTTTGCGTTAACTCGGCGCTCTGAAAATGGAGTATTATTACTGTCCCCGGCTGCTGAAGTTCCTGCAGTACCTGTGGGTAAGTGTGCTCCTAATGTCACTCTGCTTCCTGAGCTGGGTGTTCCCAGAAATCCTGGGAATGTTCATATGTAGTGAAGGCTTTACTTGGCAGTTACTTTCTGAGTAGTAATATGAAACTTGGGATTTATTTGAGTAAGAAAGGCTGTTTTATCTTTAATACTTATTTAAAACTTCAGACTACTCGAATGCACCTCAGAAAATGCTCTTGGGAGTCAAAATTTCTTCCGTGTTTATCCCTGTCCATGAGAATTGTAGTTTAGCTTGCTGTATATTAGGAATATTCTTCCTTCTTTGTGTAAAAGGTCTCTCTGGTCTCCAGGGCTGCTGCCCTAGGACTGTCCTGCCCTGCTGCTGCCT